GGGGGGTAATAGGAACCTATATAAGAGACCCAAAAATCAGGACTGTCCCTATAAAATTGGGACATCTGGTCACCCTACTCTAGACCCGGGCCTTGAGATTCACTGCTCTGATTTGTTCTGGGTTTTTTTGCTGTGTAGACTTGCTCTCTGAGGGTCTCTACTCTCTCCAGCATCTCTGGCCACCAAAGCCCAGCGAGTCTGCGTCCCCTTTGTGTGTGGTTGGCAGGGCTTTCCTGCCTTGTGGGAGTGGAGTTTGGCTCCCACCCTGGGAACAGACCGGCATTCCAAGGAGCAACATGCCCCAACTCTTCCCACTCCCTTTGAAGTGTGATAGCATCTTGCACAGCCTTCTGTACTGCCTCTCCCTAAACAATACACTCTTGTCTGTATGACTGAGAGCCCCAAGGGAGGGAGGAGCCCCATAGGGAAGAATGGCTGTTCCCCCTGCAAGATCCTGTGGGATGAGATGTGCTTATTAATCAGTAATTGCTTCAACTGCCTCTGTGGTGGAAGGTGGCAGCTGATTAACAGGGAACAGCAACAATTACTCATTTAGGACAGGAAGGGAAGAATGTAGCACCCAACTGAAACCCAGCGGGACTTCAGGGTGCAGAATGCAATTCTCCAAGCTGGTCAGGGCTAACACCCCACCCTTCCTCTTCTGAAAATTGCTGTGGACCCAAGTATCCAGGGCCTCTGTCTCTAGCCAAAAGACTGCACCCTGCTGGGGCAGTGCCTCAGGAAAGAGCACCCGCTACTCACTCCTCAATTCCTCCTGCAGAACCCTAGGGCTTTCTTGAAGGGCTCCTATACAAATTCTGACCTGGTGCTGGTCAGATTGAGGTGACCCCCAAGGCCACAGAGGTAAGAGCATATGGTGCTGCTGCAGTCCAGGGTGCCATGCATGAGGCTGCCATTTTCTCACTAGTTTCTTCTGTCTTGCAGCTTTGTGCTGAATCTAGGGAAAGACCAAGCCAACATAGTGCTGCACTTCAATGCACGTTTTGATATTCATGGGGATGTCAGGACCATCGTGTGCAACTCCATGGACAAAGGGGAGTGGGGTGCTGAGCAGAGAGAATCCGCCTTCCCCTTCCAGGAGGGCACCAAGGTGGAGGTGAGGCCTGGAATGACCTGGATCTGGGTGGTGTCCCTGTGCATGAGACACACTCAGCTGTGTCCCTGAAAGGGAGGGCTGAAGTATTACACAGAGGGGGCTCAGTCTAAAGTTGGGCAGGACCCTGTCTGGGCAGGAGGCCACATCCACCTCTCACATATCCATGCTGGTGAGGCAGAGTCCTGACAACCAGTAAGCAGCTGCTCCAGCCCCATGCTCTAGCTTAAAGATCCTGCTACTTGGGCAGGAGGAGAAGATGGGCATCTGGCAGACGTGTTCTCTGTGTTCCTCCCTTGCAGATCTTCATCACTCATGACCCAAGTAATCTAACAATTACTTTGCCAAACAACCATCAGTTCAAGTTCCCTAACCGGTTGGGTCTCCAGGTCATCGACTTCCTGAATGCAGAAGGTGACTTCATAATCAAATCCATCCAGTTGGAATAACTCCCCACTCCTCACACACCAAAGAGATATTTAAAAGGAAACACAATAAACACCACTGAATTTGGTCTACTAAACCAACTAGCTCTTTCTTGTGTCTTCTGCATTTCCCACAGCACTCCACATCCATTCTGGGTCTGTCACTTCCTTCTGTCAGATCTGATGGCACCTTGTGTAGCTGAGTGGGATTGGGTCAGCTTTGGCTTGTTGTCCCCAGAGAGGCTATGGGACACTGGAGGGTGGACTTCCTGAAGGACCAGGATAATGTGACCAAAATATCAATAATGGAAAGTACTTCTATAGCAGGGTGGCTGTGCTTGGCACTAATGAATGCAAGAGCAGGTCTTTGCTCTACTTAGCTTATTGCACTAAAAAAAAATTTAATATCAGGATCTAGCTTCACACTCATTCGGACTGAAAGGAGTCTGGTAAATGTGTCTAGTCCTGACTCTACACATCACTAAACACTGCAGAACAGCTCAAGAGGTCTAAGACCTTGACTAGAATAACAGTGGTTGCTCCCATGTCAACACTGAATGTGTACAGAGTTGTATGGAGGCACAGGAGTGGGGTGTACTAGGTTGTCTCACTTCTATCTACATTTGTTTGTGAAGGCCCATCTCACTCCCACAACACTGACTGTACTGTCTCCCAGGGTTGCTAGCCATCCTGAAGTAGCAGTAGTGTAACACCAACAGACCCCGGTCGGCGGTGGGCAGGATTGAACTGGGGACTTCTGGAGCTTAGTGTATTAGCTAAGGCTGTAGAGCAGACTCATTTTATATCTCTAAGTGGTCTCACTGCCACTAGATGGGATAGAACACCACACCCAGAGGTGCGTGGGTTACACTAGGAGCAGTACAGTACTTCTTTGCCAGTCATATTCTCAAAGATAATTGACCTATTATCACTGCTTCATGTGCACCGTGCCCATGTTACAGACTACACTACGGTCTCCCTCTACTAGTTTACTTTGAATTCCAAGCATGAAATCTATGTGGCACTTAAGGCTTGTACACACTACCACTTATGCCAATATAGCTATGTTGTTCAGGGGTGTGAATAAGCCACCTGAGCGACGTTAGTTACTGACCTCCGTGTCAGTGTGGACAGCACTATGTCATCAGGAGAGCTGCTCCTGCATGACAGCTGCTGTTTTTATTATGGAGGTGGTTTTATTATGCTGATGGGAGAGCTCTCGCCTGGTGGCTGGAGAGTCTTCATGAGGTGCACTGCAGTAGTGCTGCTGTAGCGCTTCGAGTGTAGACTAGTGCTTGCAGAATAATCACTCCGGAGGTGGAAGCAGAGGCTAGCATGCTTGCTCCTGCACAGACCCATCAGAGATTGTAGGGGGAAAATAGGGGCCACAACAGTGGGCTCCGATTGTTTTGTGGCACCCATAAGAGCCAATCTCTGTGCTGCTTTCCTGTGTGCAGATAAGGTAATGCAGTGTGCTGGCTGGGCTACAGCATGATACTTCTACCCCTGCCCACATCTTCCCATTCCCACAGCAAAATTATACTGCACTGTCAGCACTGAGTGTGAGCTGCACTCCTACTCCCAGCAGCTTAAAGCCAGGAGCTGCTGCCTATGGCAAGGCATGTAAGCTGTACTTTTGTTATCCCTGTTAACGAGCCAGTGACTGTGCGCCTCTTTCAGGCTAGTCCTGGGTGGTGTGACTCTCACCACTCCCCGCTCCTTCCATCTTGGGCATGTGATGATGAGGCATGTTACAAACACATGATACATTCCTCCCCCTGCTGTGGGTAAGTCGGTCTGCTGGACTGAGCCTGGCCCTGCCCTCCACCGGGTGCTACCCCGTCCTGCTGGAGCTGTGCTGCCTCAGAAGCAAGGGCTGGCCATGGGTGGGGAACATGGATAAGTTTCTATTAAAATATCTGAGGGGAAAGCCAGGGACTCTGTTCCCATATTCATGCTAATTTCTAAACAGGGCCAAACTAAGGCAATTCCCAGCCTGCCCCTGTGCAATAGCCATGCCCCTCTTGGGGGTTTTAGCAGCAGGGACTACCCACAAGAAAACTGTCTACTGGGCTGGCCAGGGGCCTGCTCTTTTGGCCAGGGAGGCTTCACCCTGCTCCCTAGACCATCACTCCCTGTCTTTAGGCAGACAGGTATCTCCAGGAGGAGGTAGGACAGTCTCTCCACCTGTCTGAGCAGGACTCTCTCTGACCCTGCCTGTGAAGGGGTGTTGTTAGCAGGGCTGGCTCCAGGCACGAGCGCAGCAAGCTGGTGCTTGGGGCGGCCCATGGAAGGGGGCAGCACATCCGGGTCCTCGGTGGCAATTCGGTGGTGGGTCCCTCAGTCCCTCTCGGAGGGAAGGACCGGACGCCGAATTGCCGCCGAAGGATGAAGCTGCCGAAGTGCAACTGATTGCAGCTTTTCTTTTCTTTTTTCTTTCTCTTCGCCGCTTGGGGGGGGCAAAAAAGGCTGGAGCCGGCCCCAGTTGTTAGTGAGGCTCTACCTTCAGATGTCTCTGCTGAGGATTGTTCACAGCTCTCTTCCCCCACCCCAAGCCATGGGGCAGGGGTCAGCAACCTTTGGCCTGTGGCCTGCCGGGGTAAAGCCCCCTGGCGGGCCGGGCCGGTTTGTTTACCCGCCGCGTCCGCAGGTTCGGCCGATTGCAGCTCCCACAGGCCACGGTTCACCGTTCAAGGCCAATGGGGGCCGCGGGAAACGGTGCGGGCCAAGGGATGTGCTGGTCGCCGCTTCCTGTGGCCCCCATTGGCCTCAGATGGCGAACCGTGGCCTGTGGGAGCTGCGACTGGCTGAACCTGCGGATGTGGCAGGTAAACAAACCGGCCCGGCCCACTAGGGGGCTTACCCTGGTGGACTGTGTGCCAAAGGTTAATAATAATTAATGGAGATAGGTATATCTCCTAGAACTGGAAGGGACCTTGAAAGGTCATCAAGTCCATCCCCCTGCCTTCACTAGCAGGACCAAGTACTGATTTTGCCCCAGATCCCTAAGTGGCCCCCACAAGGATTGAACTCACAACCCTGGGTTTAGCAGGCAAATGCTCAAACCACTGAGCTATCCTCCCCTTTTTAATATCATGATCTAGCTTCACACTCATTCAGACTAATTTATTTCAAGGTTGCCGATCCCTGCAGTGGGGAATTCAGTCCCTCCCCCATTAAAATGAATGGGAGCTGTTCATACTTCCCCTAGCCCTTGTTTCAGGCCATCTCACGCAAACATCAGCACGTTGGTCACACCTGGAGCGCCATTCATTTTCCTGAAAGCTGAGATTCCAGGAGCCAGGCCCCTTAGTCCAGCCTTGATGCTAAATTGGGTACTGCCTGAAATGACTCTGCAGTCTAATCTCCCCAGAGCCTGCTGTGAGTCATTGCTAGCCAGAGCTCGCTAGGGCTCAGCCTGTTGCCAGAGTGGAGAGAGCAGCCTTCCCTACTAGAGGCACTAATAGCACATGTGTCTGTGCCCCTGTTTGGAATCAGCTGCTGGGCCTCCTGCTCCCTCCACCTGCTCACTTTTTGGTGAGAGGGCTCCGATGGTGTGTCTAGAAGGGGGTTGAATTCCCTTTCTCCCACCAGCAGAGGGCCCAGTAAGGATCCAAGAGGATTAGCATTCAGAGGAGCGTCTCTTTCTTGGAGAGCCCTAAGGGCTGGTGGTAGGTTAAGTGGGTGGGAGAGTCGGGGGCTACAATGGACAGTGAATGAGCAGGGGCTCTGAGACATTTGGGAAGGAGAAGGGGCCAGGGCAGAGACCATCACTGCTGCTTGGTAAGAAAACAGGAGACACTGCAGGTAAGTACAGAAGGCAGAGCTGGAGATGTATTTAATATTCCTTGGGAGACTACTAAGCATCAGCAGAGAGCTGCATTAAGTCCTGGCTGCAGTCCTTGGAGTTTAATTGCCCGAGGTTCCCCCCTGCCTTCCTTTCCCAAGCCCCCCGCCTGGCAGTCCCTTGGAGGCCATGGGCATGCCTTCTGCTTGGACCCTACCCTGCTTCCCTGTCAGGAAGAGGACCTGCTCCCCTGCCGGCCTCTCCCCGTTATGGGCCAGGTGCTCGCGGTAGTTCCGGGTGAGCAGGGTGTAGAGGAACGGGTTGATGCAGCTGTTGCCGTAGGTCAGGCAGGTCACTCCAAAGTTGAGGTATGCCTGGGTGGTAGGGCTGATCCCCAGGCCCTCACTCCAGTACAGCTTAGCAAGCTGCCAGGCCCAGAAGGGTACAAAGCAGGCCCAGTAGGCTGCGATGATGCTGAAAATCCTGGAGAACAGCTTCTGCTTCAAGGTCGGGCCTGTCACCCACGGCTGCATGGCCGCCACTGAGGTCCAGTAGGCTCTGGCAAGGCGGCAGTACAGGAAGCCTAGGATCAGGCCAGGAGCTAGAATGCTGGTGGTGAAGAGCACCGTGAGGTAAATGCGGAAGGCCTCAGGCGTCCAGGTGGGGAAGCAGATCCGCTTGTTGTGGCTGCCACTGTCCCGCAGTTGGATCATGACCATCATGGGCACAGTCAGCAGCAGCGAGAGGATCCAGAGGGCCAGGCTGGTGAGTTTGCGGCAGCTGTTCCCGGCTTGCCTGGCCCTCAGTGGCCTGGTCACTGCCCAGTACCTCTCCAGGCTCATGGCTGTCAGCAGGAAGATGCTGGCATGCATGGTGAGGAGGTCCAGGCTGAACAAGAGTCTGCAGCCCACATCCCCAAAGAACCAATCCTGGGCAAAATATGTGCATACCACGAAGGGGATGGTGGAGAGGTAGAGTAGATCAGCCAGAGCAAGGTTGACCACATAGACACACAGGGAACCAGCTGAGCGGCCAGACACGCCTCTGGATGTCACCACTAGTGTGTAGACATTCCCTGTCATCCCAAAAAGGCACATGATTGTCAGGATGGTGCCCAAGAGCCCAGTAAGTGGGCTATCCTCTTCTAGGTTAGTACCATCATCTGAGAAATTACCACACTGAGCTTCCTCTCCCCCCTCTGCCATCACTGGCCCAGGGTCACAACACACGTTCTGGTAATGAGAGAAACTACAGCATGCACTGCCAGAGATGCATTTCCCCTTGGTGTGTGGTACTCTTGTAGACTCAATGTGGGGACAGCTGGGGAAGGAAGGAGTGAGAAGAAACCTTGGCTGACCTGACACCAAAACATTCAGGGAGAGTCTATTTCTCACACCAAACAATACAGCTCATTAGGTTGTCCCAATCCTTTACAAGCCCGGCTCAGCAGGATTCCTTACCAGTTGTCAGCCCCATGGAGTTGAGAAGAGGCATATGCCTTCAGATCCAGGGTAGCCAAATACCCTTCCATGTATGGTGAGGTGCCATCGGCTCTCTTCATCTTCTTCTCCCCTCCCTAGTGTTCACTGGCCCGTGGAGACCAACAGAAATTCCTCCTCAGTGGGCAAGTAATTTGTCTTTCTTCCGGATCTCTCCTTCCTCTCAGCTTAGAGAAAACCACAGGAAAATTGTGATTCCCCCCAAAACTATCCCATCATCCCCTCCGGGCGGAGGAACTTGTCTAACTCACAGCTTTTAACACCCAAGTGTCAATGCTCTCAGAGTTTGTACTGAGCTCTTCGCCACTAGGTGAGGAATTGCATTAGATTTCTCCCCCTCCTCCACCCACTTTCAGATCTTTCTCCTTTTCTTTCCTTTTTCTTTTCACTCTTTTGGTCCTGCCTCTAATTTTCCCCTCTGCAGCTGCTACTTCTTCTTTCACTCCTTTTAAGGAGGCTTTAGGTGTAGGATGACACTCCAACTCCCTTGGCTGGCTGAGAGCGTCAGGGAAAGTCATTGCATCCCAGAGTCAGACTAGAAATGCCAGGGTCAGTGTTGGAAATGTGTTAATAGGGAACAAGTTGTCAGGGCAGCCAACACACTGTTTTTCTGCCCCTAACCTGGAAGGGGATGGGAAAAGAGGCATATGTGGGTCCTGGGTGGACTGGACACACTGTGGAGTGGCATTTGGGGTTGAATCAATGAAGTAGGTGCTTTGCGTTGTAAAGCCCCACATATGCCCCATCGATAGTCATACACTGGTGCAAGATTTCCCACTGCTGCTGATGGGGCTGCAGTCCACCACTTGTCCCATTTTCAATAACACTTCATGGGGTGTGAGCACCACTCCTAGACACCCAAAGGGCTGGTATCTTTAGACCCCCAAAGTGTGATACCCTGTCCCCTACCCCTCAACCCAGTGTACCTACAATGGGGTGTCTATGTTTGCATCACTGCCCCCTAGTGGAATATGAGGGACCTGCCTTTCTAGAGGGTAGCTTCCCTTTGCTAGATGAGCTACTGGAGCTGCTCCTTCCTTAGATATGGGATGAACTGGATTGTGCTTGTCCACACACTCTACTACGTCTTACTGCCCTTCCCACATCCATCCCCTTTGCCCAGACATATGCCATGTTTGCTATCCAGTTGGGGACAGCCCTGCTGTGAGGCTGGGGTTACATAAGCAAAGCCTATGTTTGCATAGTATAGACCTACATGTAACCCAGAGTTATCAAATGTACCATTGTGTGTATATTGGGGAGGCTTCTTGGGAGCCTCCTGATCCACTGGATTCCATCCTCAGTATTGTTGCTTGTCTGCGCTGGAGCCAAATCCCTGATTGTATCTAGTTATTGGCAGTATCGCAGGGATTAGAGTGTACAACAGCAGGCGGGGGAAGCAGTCTGTACAGGGTCTATAACGCCCTCAACACTGTAGTATCTGAATGCCGTCCCAGGATTCACTAAGCGCTATGACCAATATGTGTCCCATTTGGTGCATTCTCTCACGCTCATCCTCTCCCCAGGGGGAGAATTAAGTGTGCAGTGGAGTGTTTTGTTTTGGTAAGGTTTTGTTTCGGGGGGGGGGGTGTTCTTTTTAATGTATACACTGCTCTGTTTTTAGTGGAGAAGGCAGGGCAAAGAAATGCACCTTGTACTTACAGAGGAAGGGGTGGGGTTTGTGTTGATCCTTAGTTCCTGGGGGAGTTCATGCCACAATCTCAGGCTAGGTCTACACTACCCGCCTGAATCGGCGGGTAGAAATCGACCTCTCGGGGATCGATTTATGGGACGCGACAATCGATCCCCGAATCGACGCTCTTACTCCACCAGCGGAGGTGGGAGTAAGCGCCGTCGACAGGAAGCCGCAGAGGTCGATTTTGCCGCCGTCCTCACAGCGGGGTAAGTTGGCTGCGATACGTCGAATTCAGCTACGCTATTCACGTAGCTGAATTTGCGTATCTTAAATCAACTCCCCCCTGTAGTGTAGATGTAGCCTCAGACCAGCCCCTGAGAGAGCTCTGGCTCCTGCACAGATGAGCTTTACCCTCATGGAAGAAAGTGCCATTGTGCCAGGGGAGCAAGGCGGTTGACCACCGTCTTCATCCCTGAATGTGAGGTGATCTCCCGTCAGAAGATGGAAAGTCCCTCCGATCATGGTGGTTCCAGGCCAAAAGGCAGAAAGGGATCCCCCCCAACAGGGGCAGAGAAGGAAAGTGAAGCTGACTACATTCATTTTTTGTAGGGTGTAACTTGATTCTGATGGAAATAGTCATGGCCCTCTCTGCTCACCGTAGAAAAATACAGACTCTGCCCCCTTTATTCTGCTATCATGTTATTCATGTTTCCTCCAAGAACAAGTCCTTTGGGTTAACTTTTAACAGAACAGGAGTTCACCTAACCAACAATAAACTACAATGAGATTTTTTATTCATTTCTTTCTGAGCTTATTACATTACAGAGTGCACCGTTAACTCCAGTTAGCCCCTGTTAATAGACACTATGTACATACACATGCTGCTTGTATAATAAACCATGGAGACATCAGAAGGGGTTGAACCTGCAACTTCCAGGATCCAAAACACAGGTCTCTACTGCTTGAGCTAATGAAGAACTCTTTTAATTATGTATAAGTAGCAGGCTGTTATACTTGTTGGGGCCAGGCACTAATAGGAGAACATGAACCCACATGCCAATCCAGTGTATTACACTTCTATGGAGGCAGTGTTGCCTAGTGGATAGAACATTGAACTAGCAATCAGGAGACCTGGGTTCTGTTTTCAGCGCTGTCATGGTCTTCTGGGTGACCTTGAGCAAGTTACTTCACCTCCCTGTGCCTCAGTTTCTCCATCTGTAAAACTGGAGAGAATTATACTTGTTCCTTTGTAAAGTGCTTTGAGGTCTATTGCTAAAAAGTGCTAGATAAGAGCTAGGTATTATTATCATGGAACGCACACAACTGTTAAAATGTACAGCTCAGAATGAAAACAGTCTCTGCCATACTGTCGATAGTCATATAGTGTCTTCCCCATACTTGTATCAGTGATTCCCTAATTTATATATGCACATACACACCAGTCCTTTAATCTTTGCAGCAAAATTTTGGAAGAAGGTCGCCTGTGAATATGTGACTTGATAGTTGTTGAACTAGGTTATTGTGTGCAGCTGGCATGGTCAATGAAAAAGAAGGTGCCAGCCCTGGCTGTAGAACTAATTTTCTAAACGTCCTTCCTGGATTTATGATGGTAAAATGTCAAATGTCATTATATTTCCAGAAAAATTCAATTCTTCCTAAGCAACTGAGAAGCCATTTCCTTGTAATGTTATAATTGCTTCTAGACTACACTCCCTGCCAGAGCTGCACTCCACCCTGCAAACCACCCATGTTGAATGAGTGCTTACTGTTTCCACTTTTATGGTAGCTTCCCCTTTTCCAGTAAGGTGCGATAACGGAAGTTTAAAAGACAACACCCCCTCCCCCACCCTTCACCACTCCTGGTACTCAAACCTTTAAAGCCCGATTGGATGACAGACCCTTCCAGTCTCCAGTTCGATCACAACATTGCTTAGGAGTGGTCTCAGTGACTGGTTGCTTTGAATGTTCAGTCTTGAAATGTGTCTTCCATTTAAAGGGGTACAGCCTAATTTGCTCCCCTGCAACAAAGGGAGGTTGGTTGATCTGTTTAAGAAAAAGTGCTCCAAACCATGAGGTACTGGGAGAGTCTTGATTCTCTGGTGCACAGCTCCTCTTCTCTCTCATAGCACTCTCCCAAAGGGCTAAGGCAGAGTAGAGCTGCAGTCCAGTTCTCCGGGGGGTTCCTAGGAGCTGAGCTTGAAGTAGGCTTCAACTGTAGGGAAGGCAAATAGAGGGTATATCAGAGCAGGGAGACAGGCCAGCCTCAGTTCTCTCTGTTATGAGGCTGGTGGGCGGGTGCAGGAGGAGAGAAGTGAACACCATCCTCGCACTTACTTGCATACTCCTGGGGGGTCATGGGCTGTTCAATGACCCGACTGAAGGCCGTGATCCAGTCCTGCTGGTCGCTCTCTGTCTCGCAGGTGAAGAGATACTCCCGGTCGGGGGTAACGATGGTGAGGCCGTACTGCCAGGAGAAGCTGCCCTGAGGCCCCGCTGGCAGCCCTTGCTTGACGCTGTATCCATGCTCCCTACTGCCCACGAACACCTCGCCTTTAGCAAACGCATCCTGCACAGCAGGAGGGAAAGGCAGATGTGTCATGGGGAGGGATTCGCTGGCATCCAAATAGACATGGCCCAGAAGCGCCTGAGCTAGGGGAGTTTGGGAGACGGGGCAGAGCAGATGAGTGCAAAAGGTCTAAGGAGGGGTGACAACAAACGGGATAAAGGGAACTGGTGGTTCAGAACACCAGGGGAGTTATACTCAGAGGAAGCAACTAAGAGGGGATGGGATTTGGGAAGGGGGGTGGGAGGGATGAGCAATGATCTTTGGAACAAGAGACCAAAGAATATGGTGGGAGGAACTGGAGGCTCTAGAAGGGCATTAAGGGGGATTACGCAGAGGGTGGCTGGATAAGAAGGGTCTCCTGTCCCCTTCCTGCTATCTTGAGATAGCGTCACTTCCACCATATCGTTATTATAACCCAGTTCCCATTGCTTGCAGGACTGATGCAAGCACAGGGCTTGGAATGACTAGGTGGTGGGGGAGAGATGTGTGTGGAATGGGGAGGCCAAGCATCTGTTGATGGACATTTGGGGAGTTGTGTCTCGCCTCCACACCACTAGGGAAAGGGACCCTTCAGCTGTTCCTCGCCCCAGAGCACAGCACAATAAAGCTGGATGCAATCCAAGTTCTGACTTACCAATAGGGTGACCAGATGTCCTGATTTTATAGGGACAGTCCCGATTTTTGGGTCTTTTTCTTATATTGGCTCCTATTACCGCCCACCCCCGTCCCGATTTTTCAACACTTGCTGTCTGGTCACCCTACTTACCAATGGATCCTTGAAGTACATGAGTCTGCGGTGATCCAGTGTGAACCAGCGCTTCTTGAAGGCCTCTCTCTGCTGTGGAGGTGAAGAGGGGACATTTATAGGAGGAGAGTGCCCTCTGCGGGGGAGAGAGGGGAATTGCTACCGCATTTCATTTAAATCCGGGCTTCATCTAGACCAGGGGTTGGCAACCTTTCAGAAGTGGTGTGCCAAGTCTTCATTTATTCACTCTAATTTAAGGTTTCACGTGCCAGTGATACATTTTAACATTTTTAGAAGGTCTCTTTCTATAAGTCTATAATATATAACTAAACTATTGTTGTATGTAAAGAAAATAAGGTTTTTAAAATGTTTAAGAAGCTTCATTTAAAATTAAATTAAAATGCAGAGCCCCCCGGACCGGTGGCCAGAACCCAGGCAATGTGAGTGCCACTGAAAATCAGCTCACGTGCCGCCTTCGGCACGCGTGCCATAGGTTGCCTACCCCTGATCTAGACCAGGGGTGGGCAAACTTTTTGGCCTGAGGGCCGCATCGGGTTTTGTAAATTGTATGGAAGGCCGGTTAGGGGAGGGGGTCTTGGCCTGGCCCCCACCTCCTATCTGCTCCCCCCCCGGGACTCCTGTCCCATCCAACCCCCCCGTTCCATGACAGCCCCCCTGGGACCCCTGCCCCATTCACACACCCCCGCTCCCTATCCCCTGACGACCCCTGGACCCCCGCTGCCCCATCCAACCCCTCCTCTCATTCCTGACGCCCCCCCTCTCCCCCCCCGGGACCCTTGCCCCATCCAACCATCCCTTCTCCCTGTCCCGACTGACCCCGGAACCCCTGCCCCTGACTGCCCCCTGCTCGCCCCACCCAACCCCCCCTCCTTCCTGACTGCCCCCCCCGGCACCCCTGCCCCCATTCAACCCCCTGTTCCCCGCCCCAACCCCTATCCATACCCTCGCCCCCTGACCACCAACCCAAACTCCCCTGCCCTCTATCCAACCCCCCCTGCTCCGTGCCCCCTTACCGCGCTGCCTGGAGCACCGGTGGCTGGCGGCGCTACAGCCACACTGCCCGGCTGGAGCCGGGCCAGGCCGCCGCCACCGCACAGCACAGAGACCAGGTCAGGACGGGCTCTGCAGCTGCGCTGCCCCAAGAGCTCACAGCCCCACTGCCCAGAGCACTGCGCTGGCAGCGGAGCGAGCGAGCTGAGGCTGTGGGGGAGGGGGGACAGCAGGGGAGGGGCCGGGGCTAGCCTCCCGGGCCAGGAGCTCGGGGGCTGTACAGGACAGTCCCGAGGGCCGGATGTGGCCCGTGGGCCGCAGTTTGCCCACCTCTGATCTAGACACACAAACTGGTCTCAAAATCCCTGCCCTGGAGGGAACCCACTTCTGCTGAGGTGAGAAGGGGATTCAGCACCCATGTTCTTTCAATCCTGAGTGTCTCCACCAACATACAGACTTCTCACCCAAAGGGCCCCTGAGCTCAGGTGATAGGGAAGGTCAGTCTCCAAGGTCCATATGCACGCACATACATACACTTAATAAACCCACTCTTGTGGGATGAGTGAGGAATTCAGCCTCCATCTTCATCTAATTTTGCATCTCCTCATTGCCACCCTCACTGCTCCCCAATGAGACCCCAGCTGTGCCCTAGCTGAGGCACAGAGCAGCATTGCCGCGGCTCTTTGAGAAGTCTGGGGATATGATGACAAACATGAGGATCCTGAAATGAACCCAGGCAGGTCAGGAACCCTAGTGTCTCAGTTAGATTCCTTGTGCCATTCCATCTTACCCTGGGACCAGTCTTCTCCATGTACCCCTCCTTCAGGAATTTCTGCATTAGTCGGCTTTTGATCTGCATAAAAGGAGAATGGTATATCCCAGCACATCTTTCACTTTAGCTGGTTCTTCTTGTTCACTCCCTCCCTCTCAGCCTGCCCTCAGCGCTCCAACTCCTCTCTTCTCCCTCCTCATGATCTTAATCCCCTTCTAAGTTCCATCTACTAATGTCACCTTCCCTGCTTTGTCAGGGGAGAGGGCTGTCTCCGGGGGATACGTCCGAGAGCAGCTCTTCTCTGCCCATCTCAGGCTCCTGTAACCGCACCACTGTTAGCTTGGCATCCTAAGTTCCCTCTAAGCTGTGCAGCCGTGCAGCAGGCTATCAAGGGCCACGCAGGCACACAGCAGGGAGAGGTGTCTCTCCGCCCGCCCCAGAGCTGCCATGGCCGGAAAGAGGCACTCTCCCCCAGCCCTGGGTTGCTGTAGTGAGAGAGGGCTGGGGGGAGTCCTCTTTCCCCACCACAGCCCTGGGGCAACCTGCACCCCAAACCCCTCATCCCTGTCCCCACCCCAGAGCCCACTACCCCAGCCAGATCCCTCACCCCCCTGCACCCCAACCCTCTGCCCTAGCCCTGAGCCCCCTTCCACACCCCAAACCCCTCATCCCCACCCCAGAGCCTGCATCCCCAGCCAAAGCCATCACCGCCCCCCCGCACTCCAACCCTCTGCCCTAACCCTGAGTCCCCTCCCGCACCCCAAACCCATCCTCCCAGCCCCACACTAGAGCCCGCACCCCCAGCCAGAGCCCTCATCCCCCCACCACCTGAACCCCCTGCCCCAGCTCTGAGCCCCCTCCCACACTCTGAACTCGGCTCCACCCCTGCCACACATCACTTCCATATTGGTGCTCATAGCAAAATTAATTCCACACATGGATGTAAAAAATTAGAGGGAACATTAGCCAAGCCACAATAGTGAGTTCTTCCCCGGAGGACTCTGAGAGAACAGATAAATTCCTCTATCTGGGTGGTATTAGATACCGATACCAGCAGGGGGGCTGGTTATTACTCTCAGGTGATCTCTTACCTCATTGTCACTGGCCATAGGAAATGCCACCTTCAGGTAATGAACCTGCACTGCGCGTATCGCATTGAACCAGTCCACTATCTCCTGGGGAGGGAAGCAGCACAGGAGAGAGAGCTTCAGAGTGACCGGTGCTGACCCACCCCTCCGAACAGCTCCTTGGGAAAATGTATGAGCTCCTCTTGTGGCCCACACTCTCACAGCATTCCTCAGTTTCAACCCAAAAGCCTATATACCAGTCTCTACAGTGGCTCCTAAATTATACAGCAACTCATCCCCCAGCCAATCCTCCTGCCCCTTTCCCTCCAGTGACACCCCCACACACACATGCAGCACTCCCACAACATGTAGTACAATGATTCTGCCAGCATTTTCCTACACCATTCCCTCCAGCACCTGCTACTGCTAAAGGCTGGGATTTCTGTCTCGGGCTAGGACAGGCCCCTGTACCTTTCCATCCTCGTGGTAGAGGAAGATATTGCGGGTCTTGTTATCCTTGAGGTAGCTGATCTGCAGGCCATTGGGGTTCCTGATCTTTACTGGCTGGAATGTGGCATTGATGGTGTCAATTTTAATATTTATTTTGGGCTCTTTTGCCTGAGAAAGGAAATGGAATCGGTGAGATCTGGCCCTAAAGATACAGATGGGATAGAAACCAGTGGCTAGAGACTGAGAGGCACTGACAAGGCAAGCGGAGAGGAGTCCTCTGGGCAGAGAGAGTGGAAAGGCTTTCCTAGCACCAGCAGAGGGAGTGTGTCAGAGGTTTGGATGCATTGACTGTAAAGGGGAGAAGAGTAATGTCTCCGTGGCAAGAGGTAGGGGCTCTCTCCCCAGGTTGGGCTGTGCTGGCAGCACTAAGGGAAAATCCCTCTGGGAATGTAGCGAATGGAAAGGATCTCCCTTTTACCAGTAAGGGACGCTGTATCCAGCATGGGGGACTCTGAGGGTGCAAGGGGAGTCCTCAGGACTGTGTGGGGAGAATAGAAATGTCTCCCTGGCACCAGCAGGGGGCACTCTCCCCAGGTTGGGGTGCACTGCGAGGCAGGAGCTGCCCTCCAAGTAGACCATACTCACGTCCGGTTTGGCAAAATACTTGAGACACCCATCTCGCTCAGACAAGAGAAACTTGCGGGGTAAGAACTGCCCGTTATCCCGGCCCCGTTTCCATAGGATCCCTTCCTTCAGCCCTAGGAACAGAGAGGCCAGTCTGTGTGAGAGAGCTCGCTCTCTGCATGTACGCCTCAGCCTCCCAGCCCGCCACACGTAGGCACTTGGCAGTGACCCAGAGCTCTGCCTGCTTCGTTCTGCATGCCCTCGGGTGCAGGAGTTTGCTTTGCTGCACTGACAGGAGAACTTCAAATATGACCACTGTCGTCGTTGGGAGTGGGATGGAGGAAGACCGTGATTCCTTAGCCTGGGGCACTGACCAAACCAGCACTGTGAACTCCATCACGTCAGTGCCAGCTGGGACACTAGTGCTGTGAGCTTCCTTGTGGCAGTGCCCAGCCAAGATGCCAGCACCATGAGCTTCCTCAAAATAATGCCCTGTAAGTACAAGCCAGCATGTGAGCTCCTTCACAATAGTGCTGACAGGGCCAGTGGAGATGTCAGTGCTGCGAGCTTTCTCATGCAAGTGCCCTGTCAACACCCAGCCAGGGCTGGGGCAGTATAAATGTGAGGGATAAATCCATGCCGTGCTCTTACCGTTGGAATACGGCAGCTGTCTCCCTGGCTCAGTGAATTCCTTGCGCTCATACTTGGCCCGTATCCACTGCTCCCTCAGGACTCTGTGGAGTGACACAATGTGGGGCTTAGTGACAGACTGAAGGATCCCAGAAGTGACCACCCTCTCTTAAGTAATCATTCTTACTGGCAGTCGGCGTGGGTTGGCTGGTAATAGTAAATGGGGATGTGAGCCTCGTACGTGGCTTTAGCCACTGCGTTCCCATGCTGCTGCAGGAACTGCAAAATAAGACAGGAGAGTCAGTGCTTTCCCTTTGATGCAAATTGCACTGTGGGCCTTTCCCACCCACCTACACACAGGGTGTAGCCATCTAAGCAGATCCCCTTTCCCATCCACTGAAATGTCCCTGGATGAGAGACTACACAAGGGTTGGTATCTATCAAGTCTCAAAGGCCTGGTCTGACTTAGAGACTTACATCGATTGTACTGAACCCAATGTAATTATCGCAAAAGTGGTTAACGTGGGGACAGTGCACACGCACTTGGCGTGTGTACATTTGTTTAGTGCTCTTGCTGTTCCATCCCGTGTATTGTGGCAGCAGCAAAGCCTTTTGGGAACATATCCCAGAGTTCTCAGCTCGTCTCCAAAGAATGGTGCTATACGGGTGATTCTGCATGGCCGTCTGGGAGACATGGTGAGTGCCCAGGGGGACAGTGGGCGGAGAAGTCAAGTTCCCATAGATCCTATTGGATCCAGCACTATTTGGAGGCTTTTTCCAGAGCGCCGTGGAGTCTTCCAAGGTGGAGGTGGAAGGGGTGCCATGCTTGGACTATTGAGTCCTGCATAAGACCTAGGGCCTGGTCTCCATGGTGTTAGCTGGTGGGGAATCAGTTGTGTGCAGCCAAGGGGACCCCGGGTCTTGGCGGGGTATGTTTCAAGCAGACTTCCACCCTAGTCATAAAATAACATGACGTAGGAATAATGCAGAGCCATTGCCTTCACTCTGCCCACCAAAGGGTAAGTGCATCATCGTCCATCAAGTTGGGGGAGGGATGGGTTGGAGGGAATCCTCTCCACTGGGGTATTAAAACCCTTCTACTAGCAAAGAGGCTAGTTATGAAATGAATGGCTCAAAAGGCCTGATCATACGGTTTCACTTTCCCAGGACCCAAGAAATTGAGTGTTCTGGACAAAGAACCCCGACTTGAGTTGCACTGCAGCAGGGATGCAGGTAAGAAGACTCTCACCTGCACCTGGGCCTCATCCCAGTGGTCCATCCTCAAGGATTTAACTTTGCTAATGTTAGGGATATTGCGGTGGATACCTGAGCAGCTCAGGCAGATAAAGACACCCAAAGTATGAGATGCCCAGTCAGGATCTGAGGGTAAATAAAAAGGGGATCAGTGGCAGGTATTCAAGGGAGATATGCCATGACTGAGAAATGTGCTGTCAAGGCCCCCAGGGAAATAGTTGAGGAGGGCTGTATAACCTCAATTTCATGTGAGCTGAGTTAGTCACCTGCTGGGAATAGACACCAGCTAATAAAATACATCACTATCGTTCTATCCTTCCTGCTGTTCCAAGCAGTAGGATAATGATCTTATATCTAGATTGTGCCTTTTATTTTTGAAGGATCCCCAAAAAATTTACAGACTCTCTCTTTCTCTCTCTCTCTCTCAGAATCATTCACCCAATACAGAAATGCAGCCACCTCTGGGGTGGAATATGGCAGCTATTTAACAATGCACAGCAACACAAATCACTGTTCAAGGAAGTGAAGGACAACACTGAATTCAATTGAAACGAGTAGGAATTTAGGAAGGTTAAATGTGATTAATTACCAAAAATTGAATTTGGGGCTAACGCCTTCATTTTGCTGAAAGTGCCATGGGGTCTTTTAACCTTCCTCCAGGATTATGATCTTGGATTTCTATTCCTTTCAAAAGATGGCACTTCTACTAGAACAATATCTCCATGGCAGGACATTGTTTCAGTGCTGGCTCTAAGGAGAGGATGGCTTTCTGAATCACTCACACCACTTTTTGCAGCATCTGCAATTTCTTTAGAAGCTTTTCTGTCAAGTCCTGACCAGGCCTGACCCCAAGTAATTACTCAGCTGTTACATGACATTAGCCCAAGGTGGTGTGGTTGCAAAATCTCCCCATCTTTCTGCACTTCAAGGGGTGGGATGTCCCTGTTCTTCCTCCACTGCGCACAGTAGGGTCTCTTCTACCCAGGTACCATCTCCACACACAGAAAACAAATCCCTGAACCTAGTGTCCAGCTAGGCCAATGACTCTCCCACCATACCTTCCCCCTCCATGGAGGAAAAACTCCTCCAGACAGCCCATATCAAACCACAACCTGACACACTGCTCCCCCAAGGCTAGACAGTTTCTGACACCTACTCCTCCACTTCATCCCCAAAACTGGCTACTCCAGCTGCCCCTCCCATGGAACTGTCTCCCCAACACCAAGCCCCAATTTGGATCCATCTCTGCTAAGTGTCCCCTTCTCTCCGCCTCAGCCTCTTCCCCAACCTGGGGACCCCCATGAGACCCCAGAGACTCACCTGGCTTCCCACAGTCTGCGCACAAGGCATTCTCAGCTCTCCTCCACACCTCTTTTAGGGCTTTCAAATTCTTGTCATCCTTTTCAGCCATTGCCTCCAATAGCTGCCCTTGGGCAGGGCAGGGGCAGGAAGGCAGCTACCTGTGATCAAGCCCACTGGCTCGCCCAAGGGAGAAGGGGCTTGGGGCAGGGGATCAGTAGGGTTAATAAAATCGGAGAGCAAACCCTATTGGATTGACAGAGTGCAGCAGAGGGAAAGAGACAGAGGTGTGTGCAGGCTGAGGAGGAGGAGAAGGCCGACTGTGTGGGCGTGAAGGGAAGTGCAGCAATTAACCACAGAACCGGTTTTTCCGCATTTCTGCTGGTAAAAGGACAAGCTCCAGGAAAAGAACACAAGCCGCAGGCAAGTTGCTAAAAGCAACACAGGTTCAGAGGCGACACCCAGTGTCAGGAGTAATGGCCACCAGGCCGCCTCATAATTAATAATGTGCCAGGGTTCATCAGAGGATCTCAAAGCACTTTATAAGCATTACTGAAGCCTCACAAGCTCCCTGAAAAGTAGATATTATCCCCATTTTACAGATGGGGACAGTGAGGCAGAGAGAGGTTAAGTGGCTTGCCTTAGGTCATACAACAAGTCAGTGGCAAAGTTGGGAGTCCTAATGCCCACTCCCCTGCTGTTACCACCAGACCACACTGTCTACATAGTGATTGGATATTTCAGGGAGTCCTGCAGCTTGTGTCTTGAGGCACACTGACAAGACTGAAAACAACCACGGCACCCACCCTGTAACTAACAGAACAGCTTGTGTCCTGCTCCCAACAACATGGACTAAACTGCAGCTCCTTTAAAGGAAGTCTGGAAATGTGTTGTATGGACTGATGGAAGAGAAGCGGTCAGAACGTGTGACTTGATCTGTAGCTGTGAGTGAGGGGGACACAGCTAGTTCATGCGACCCGATCTCTGTAGGGACAGAAGAGGGGGATGTGGGACCTGACTGCCAGAGGGGGTCATAAGATATCATGTTATACACATCTAGGGCCTTGCACACCAGCAGCCGCTTTTAAACACCACAGTAGAAAGTGAACTTCAGCCTGAGCTGAGAAAGTCCCACCCCTGCCTGAACCTGATTGGGAGGGAGAGGCTCCAATCAGGAACCTTTAATCTTGGAGTCGAAAGGTTCCACAAAATTCTGTGGCAGTTGAGGTTTGGCAGTGGGCTTTTAGCCCCACCCCCAGCCTGAGGAAGCTGACTGGAGTAGAGGCGAGAGTGACAAAAGATTTCAGCCAATGGGGCTTTGAGGCAGGAAAGCAAGTGCTGAGAGGAATGGAGCTCCTGGGATGATTGCCCTGTGGGTCCTCACTGTAGAGGTCCCTTGGGTTTAGGTCCTGGAACTAGAGGTGTGGGGGGTGCTACCGCACCCCCTGGTTTGAAGTGGTTCCCATCATATCCAGGGTTTACAGTGTGGTTCAGTGGCTCTCAGCACCCCCACTATGCAAATTGTTCCAGCGCCCCTGCTGGGGCACATGAGCGCAGCACGTTTTGGAGGGCCATGTCCGTTGGGGCTGCGTGTGCACCCCGCCCGTTCCTCATGCCCCGTCCCCCACGCCCCTGAGAGCATAAAAGGAGATGCTGATCCAACAACCACTCCGTTCCTTCAAACCACTGTAGGCAGCGAGTCGGCACTGACAGGACATGCCACTTCCCTTTTGATCCTTGCTTTTCCCCCTCAGGAGATTTTGCTCTTTTTCTGTATGCAGCTGCTTGTTTTAAATAGAGTTAGAGACAGAGTCTGTGTTAGATTCCTGATCCACTGGGCACTTAACAGCCTCCTTAGCCTCCATCAAGTGTTTCCAGTGCTGACGTGCACACCCTTTCAATGGTCAAAGCCGAGACAACTGACTTCAACCTTGTCTTTTGTTTGGTAGTTTAACGTCCATCACAGATGACCACATGAGATCCCTCTTCCATTAAGGAAAAGGGCATGTTCCAGGCCAGGACCCAATTTGTAAATCCTTTAGTTCTCAGACTGTCAAACCCTGGATACCTGCCTCAATTACATCTTTTACAGAGAATCATAAAGGCAACATCCTCAAGGGCAGAAATACCAGAGAAAGCCACACTGAGATCTCCGTCTCACATGGTCGAATCAGGATGCAGGACCACTAGTTCCCCAATGGACAGAGACACAGACCCCCAATCCCCAAACCCCTGGAATCCATGCCAAGGATATTGTGAAATCATCCTTTCAGAGCCAAGCAACCTGACTGTCCTCTTCTCCAAAGCCAAGTGTCATGGGCAATAAGGAATCAGCTCCTTCTACAAGCGCTACCTCTACCTCTGTGTCCAGCTCTTGAAGCAGGCCCAAAGACTGCTTCCCATTACAGTGTCAGGGTTCTCCCTCACTGGTGAAGACAAAAATGTAAAGAAGCCCCAGGCATATTACTCTTTCAATATTACTCTAGCCATACGTCAGCCATGTCCTTGACAGCAGAGCAGCCCATCCCATTCCCTCAGTGCCAAGTGCTGCAGCTTCTTCTACCTTGGCTACTTCAGCATCAGGACCCTCTGCATCGACTGTTGCATATGTGTCTTCCTGGGACCTTTCAGCACCGAGGAGGTCCACACCTCCCTTCACCTCCCGAGGAGGTCCACACCTCCCTTACTACTACTTCCTCAGCACAAAATAAAGAAGCCCCCACTTGCCCCTTTCTATTGTCCCTGGCATGCTATCTATGTGCAGCAGGTTTTGGAGCCAGAGCACCCCAGAGTAAAGCTTGTTGTTGTCAGGAACAGGACCAAGGTTCATCCTTGGATCTCTCACTTCCAGCATATTCATTTTGGTGAGGCTCCTTTTACCTCTTGGATGCCTCCTGCTTCCTGGTTTCCTCCTGGCGTATCACCTCCATAGCCTTATGGCTCAGTGATATTGTAGCCTCACGGGCCCATGTGGGTTCCATTGCCTGTACCTGAAAGGGGTTGAACATCCAAGAAGGCAGAAAAGAGGCCAGGATGGTTACACTTTCTTCTCCTGTGAGAGCTCCAAAGCATCTCCCTCAGAAATTCTGATCCGAAGAATGGGAGGATGAAGAGACTGATGTGTATCCTGCCACAGGACCTCCTCGTCCCTTCTATTCATCCCCAGATGACACTGTGGCTCCTCCAGCAACTTCTCCTAATGACTACAAAAATACCTATGGAGAGAACTGCTGAGACTCTAGACCTGGAGCTGGCAGCTGAGCAGAGAAAGTTTCAGTTTGTGCCACATATTACAGGCCCTAGTAGGGTAGCTATTCCCACAAATGAAGGCATCCTGGAGCCCTGAAAGGATCTGTGGCTCACATCAACTTCCCTTCCTGCAAAAGACGTGACTGAAGATACCAAGTTCCCTGAGGTTTGAATGCTTTTGCAACCACCCAACCTGCAAGAAAGAAACCAATCATCTGATTCTCCTTGTTCTCACCTAGGGAGAGAAATTCAAAGAGGTTAGATCTTCTGTGGAAAAAGGCATACTCCTCAGCCTCCCTCCAGATGAGTATAGTCAGCTACCAGGAAGTGTTAGTTATATACTGCTTCCTCACCTGCATAGGCACGGGAACTAGGAGTGCGGGGGGTGCTGCAGCACCCCCGGGTTTTTGCACAGAGCTCTGCTCCTGGCCCCACACGCAGGCTCCCAGCCCCACGCCCAGAGTCCCAGCTGCCAGCCCCGGGTCTGGGCTCCATTGCCGGCCCTGCGCCTGGGGTCCCGGCCCCGCGCCCAGAGTCCTGGCTGCTAGCCGCGCACCTGCCCCCAGCTGTGGCCCCAGCCTCAGCCCCCTTATCCCTTTCCGGTTCCCCCCCTCCCGGAGACACGGCCCTGCTCCCAGCCCCAGCTCAGGGGGCGGGGGCGCAGACAAGGGTAAGGGAACTGGCTTTCAGCAGTCCCACTATTAAAAGTGTTCCAGTGCCACTGCTGGGATAAACTGTCTCACCAGGATCAGCTTCCCGAGGCTGTTAAGAAGGAAACTAAGTCAGGGATAGCAGAGGGTCATCAAGTGACAAAACATGCCTTCTAAGCAGCTTTCGATGCAGATGATAGCAGCTAGAGCTGTGGCCATACCTGAGAGGTCCAAAGAACCATTGAGTAGCTCTCTTTTGAGGGGCTCTGTAGGATAAGTATAAAATTAAAGAACTAAAGTTAGCTTAGGTTAAGAAAATACATATGTGTTGTAAAAAAAAGGCTGTGATTAGCAAGTAGAAGGAAGGCTTTGAAAATAATGAGTTATAAGGCCAAAAATAATAAAGTAGGGAGGATGTCTGGTTCAAAGAATAACTAATAAGATAAGGGACATTTTCTAAAAAGAAGGCCTCTGATCAATAGGGGTGACTGCAGATGGCTTTAAATCACATAGAGAATCTGTCTTACAATGAGCCGACTCAGCCCTTCCCCAACCCACACATCAGTGTTAAAGCCTATGTGAACCCAGGTGCAATGGGAAAACTGTTCCACACCAAGAAGGAGGGGAGGAAAGGATACTGTAACTCTTATGTGGATAAAGAGTGGAAAGAAGGGTGAACTGTCTCCAATTGGTTTTTAGTTGAAGTCAGTAATTGGCAGTGACATCACTTGTTTGTTAAAAGGTATAAAAAGTAAACTCTTAAAGAGTTCATTGCTAATACCTGCCTGACCACGTTGGAGCTGGCTGATATGAGTCTGAGTACCCCTGGGTTTAGCTCAGTTGTAAGTATCTTGATCAAATGCTTCTAAATGTTTTGTTACTGTTTGGATGTAGTAAATTGCGTATTAGTTAGGCTTTTTAGGCATGTTTAGAGCAATTGTATAAGTACCATTTGGCCTTTTGATTTAATAAAAGAATTAATGGTTAAATTAGTGTTTGGTGATTTCCCATATCAATATTAATAATTTAAAATATTATTAATAATTCCAACAGGCCTAATCTGTTTAGCAACAAAACTAATGATTCCCTGCATTCTCTATTAAAGATTCAAGAGCAATGCTGAGGTCTCTAGAACTGTTATCCTCCATCTGCAAAGAAGTTAACTCCTTAGTTTAGATGTCAGTCTCCAGGGTTATATAGGTAACACACTAACCAAAGGCCTTTACACAAGTCCAGAGAGTTACTTATGAGATAGA